CTGCTAGAATTCAAAATATACAACAACTAAGTCATACAGATAAGTGCGAAATCATACGAGTCAATCTGGGTTAGCCAAAGGTTTTGCTTGTCCTTGTATAATACTTAAGGTCAATGGCAACTAGATTAAATGCTTACTTCACAACTTATACTTCTTTCTCCAAGATATTTCTACCTGAACTGGCTAAGAAAAAAGCATCCATGAACAGGGCAGCACTCTCTATACGACCTGGCATACTTACAATTCTCAAAAAGAAGTACAGGAATTTTCAATTTGATGAAGTTCAGAGATTACAGGTCAAAATTGCAACTTTTTTCATTTTTTCGCAAAAGAATAGAATTCACTCAAAATCATGACTCAATTTGCAACTAGCTAATTTTCCATCTTTTGCCATCAAAAGTAACATCCAACTGTATAGACATCAATGGAGAAGCTATCACTCCAAGAGATGGATTGGTGGTTCATAGAAAGAAAGCATGTGTTGTGCAGGTTTGGAATACTACAACCAACGTTGCAGTCTTACCAAGCCTCCCCTATTTTCTTTGGTAAAAAATTACATACAGTTAAAAGAGGAAGCAGAGCCGTGTAGAAGATTAGATCAATCATGCATAATAAAGGAGAAACGCAATATATCTCAGAGAAAGTATTAGAAGAGACATACCAGTAGTGTCCAGGCTGGATTGGCCCAGCTAGTTTTTCAGCCTTTTTAATTATCCTCTCCGAGATAAGATACCCATTGACCGTAACATTCGCCTTTTCATTATCAGCATCATCGTATGATATATTCGAGTCCCTAAAGCTCTTTTTTATCATGCCAGCAAAAAAGGATTCAGCTGCCTTATTGGCTCTCATTTGATCTCCTTCTCTGCTTGCTTCACCTGAATCCAAAGATGTCCCAGTATTGGAGTACTCATTGGAGGATATTTCTATCTCAGTTGCTGATGCATCCTTCATGGAATTCTGCCTCGAGATAGTCTTCTTCGATATTGACTTCTCCTCTTCAAAGTGCCCACTTCTAGTTGCATTTCCAAGCCTGTTAGCGGCGTTGTACTTATTAGAATAATCAAAGTAATCTTGAAGTGGTGAACCTGCAGGAGGTGGAGATAATTTGCCCTTCACTGGCAATTCAGAAGAATTTAAACTTTTCCTTATGGCAGTCAAGTTCTCCAGGTTCTCCTCTTTCTCAGACGAAGAGGAAAACGTAGAATGAGGACTCCTGATGTCAGCAGACTTAATTGAGCTTCCAGGACCAGTTGACAGTGGTCCAAATTCCCTATCCATTGACTGAAAATTGCAACCACTATTGTCATAATCATCAGAAGAAAAGTTAATGCTAGCCTGCTTTGGATGACCATGGGTTTGTGAACTCCCTTCCTTCAAATTGTCACTGTGGCGTACATTGAACTTTTTATGAACAGAAACACTAAGTCTCTTAGAATCAACTGTCAATAAAATCAATGTTGAGCATGCTCCACATCTTATTTTCATTAGGTTTTTGTGAACTTGCACTTTATCGGGCAGTAGTAATAACTCGTGACAATTTTGGCATGCAAAGAATGGAGCACCACCAGCTACAGGCAGACATCGATGCCTGCTAGTGGATAAGAGAACCTTTGAAGGGCGGCTACGAACAAGACCACTAGCTTCAGATTGTAGATCACTAGGCCATCTTGTGTGGGATACCGAACTACTAGATTTAAAGGAAGCAGAAGCATTAAATCTTCCACCATAATGTTGTGCACCAGAGGCATTTTGGTATTCGTGATGATAGAATGCTGGATCCTCTGTGACATCAGAGAACTGCTTAACACCGTATGCCTTGTATGGAACTTGGCGTGGAACTTGATATGTACTGTGGCAATGGAAGCAAGAGCATGATGGGTGGTGATTGTGCATGTTAGGCGGGAATGATTCAAATGAGTCCATAGGAGCTATATTACTATCAGCATACATTCGAGAGAAGTGCGCAGGAGGTGGCTTTTGCTGGAAAGGAACAGGAGCTTGCGGACCTCTCCTGAACATTTGGGACCTTAAAGGATCCTCAAATTCTTGGAGATGGGTAGAAGTATGCATGGGAGGATAAAATCCAGGCCCCACCATATCATGCCTATTTATAAAAGGAGATGTCTCGGAAGAGTGATTTGCATATGATGGTCTAGCAGCATCATGATAAGGAAAGGAATATGGTACTGGAGGCCTATTGCTTGCTAAATAGTTTTCAGAAAACCATTTCTCAGAATAACCATAAGGATCTGGGTGTACCATCCTCCTACCAGGAGGAACTTTGTCTTTAGGCTCGTCAACCACATTGCAAGAGCGACTAAGTTTATCCTTTAGTTCGTCCAATTTCCTCAGAAGCTCAGCTTGATTTTCTACAAGATGCTCAACATCATCAGAGCCACCCAACTCATTCCTGTTTATTACTGGTTTTCTGTAACCATAATTGCTCTGCAGTTGATAATTTGATGGTCCCTCTTCTGAATATTTTGAAGCCAAATACCTTGTACCATCCAGATCAATTCTTTGATCCCTTCGGAAGTCCTCCATCTCACTTTCTCTCCCCCTATTTCTCCAATCCAACTCCTCACTGGAAATCAGGAATCCTTTCCTGCCCCCGATTTGGGGTTTCATATTCTTAAAATTTTTATCCCTTTTTGTACCATTGATTCCAATGATATTGTCATCCACCTCCAGACCATCCTCAACAACCCACTTATCAGCCCCGGTCACCTGACTAGCCCCATAATTTTCAGTTCTATCATGAAAAAATCTCCTTCTATCACTTCTGTTGGAAGAATTGTCATTAGACTTAACATCATCCTCAGAAACCTCGCCTGTGTTTATTTTACTCATTTTAGGAACTTCAATGTCTTTAGATTTCTCAGCTAATCTACCTGAAAACCCTTCATTTCTTTCTTCTTCAGACTTCTCAGATAATGCATCCACATCACCATTTGTACTTTTAGCTGTGAGCAGAAGTACCAAAAATCACTTTGCAGCACTTTTATTGTCCATATCAGGAAATTTAACATCAATGCGTGCATCAGTGCAACCAGAACCAGACAGGCAAGAAACAACACAAGCCAAAAAAAAAAGAACTTTTTAAAGAAACATATATATATATAGACACACACACATATTATGCAGGTTTGTTTGGAAAGGGACAAAGCACAAAGAAATTAATTAGAAAACAACCATATAAAACCAAGACTAAACCTTTAACCGACATTTCCATATGTCTAATCTTGTTCAGGTTGTATTAAGAAGTAAAAAAGATGTGCAAACGAGAAAGATTGAAGAAATGTACCTCTTAGGACAGCACTACAAGCACCACACCGATAAACAGAATAGTGAGTAAGCTCTGGAAGAAGGTTTTCACACTTGGGACACTGCACTAAACGAACCTCTGCTGGTTCAGACATCTTTCAATAAACTTCCAAGCCAATTTCGAGGCCAACCAACAGTAATTCATTCAAGAATATTAAGAGAGCTTCCTCCGAAACTGGGAATGAGAAGCTCTCTGTCAGCAATGAAGCATCAAATACGCATACAAACACTCATGATGCGTGATTTACTTTTTCTGGGGAATATTTAAGTTTTCTTTGCTAAGTTGAGAAGTAGGAAAAGGAAACGATTCCCCAATCCGCGTAGCAGAGGTAAAGAAAGAAAAAGGGAAAGGGGGAGAAGTACTCCTTAGGTTACACTTTCTGTTCCTTTGCTTTGGTTTCACATCTGTGTTTGTGCACAACTTGGGGAGTCGGAGTCTTGGTCTTGGCCTCCGTGGGAGGGACGGAGAGAGGAGACTTTTGTAGGGGCTCTGATACAAAAAATGAGGTTGAGAATTTTGGGACAGAGTACAAAAATTGTTTTTATGCATACTATATATATCATTAGTGTTTTGTCAAAAAAGAAGAGTGGGCGGCGTTGAAGGGAGGAGCTACCTTTGACATTTTTGCATTCCACTTGCTATTGACAGATGAGCTACATTTCAGAAGTGCCCAAATGAAAGATAATAATATGTTTAAAAACTGGGCAAAAACTGGCATTAGCAGACGTGACATTATCGTGTTTGGATTACAATTTTTTTTGGAGCTTTTTTCAGAAAAATATGCCGTAAAAACGATACATATAAGATAAAAAGATACTTGAAAAATAGATTCTTATTAAGTAATTATTTCAAATTTTTTTTTGGAGGAAAATTTACAATCCAAACATTTATTAATCGCTTTTGAATGTCAAATGAAATTCAATCATAAAAATATTACATGAGAGCATCTTTGAGGAACGCATGATCATTGTCATGGTCCACTTCCTTGTTTTCGCTTCAGTTGAACTTAAGTCCAAAGAGTTTTTTTTTTTTGTTTTTTTTAGAAATTTTAAATTCAAGGCCGCCTTCTTTTTTTGACTTCTTAAACTTTTCTCTTATCAAAAAATTTATATAAAGTGCACAAAATTTTTTTTCTTTTTATGAAACAGAGTCCGTAGGAATTCAAAGTTTATATTTTGGTTACAGGTTCACTTGTTTAAGTTTATTGGTAAAATTTGAGTAAACACGTTACATATTACAATTTATGGCGAATACGTCTTTCTCTCTTTCTCTCTCTCTCTTCTCACTGCTAATAACCAAAAAGGTCAATGCTCTTAAACGCCCGGAGCAACACCGAACAACCAAGATGAGGTTCTCTTGCGTTTTCTGATGGTGTTAAATCAAACTACGATGTTAAACAGCTCATGAGCAAATGACAAATACATTTTTCTTATGCTCTTGTTTTTCTGGTTTCTTACTTCTTGCTTCTCCAAGGAGAGAGGAAATGCTAAAAAGGGACGACTTACAAATTGAAAAACAAAGAATTAAGGTCAGAAATTAATCATAACTTGGAGGAGAATACGTTATGTGAGCTAATATACTGGAAAAATTCGGCAAAGTTGTATTATGACTCCTGTAACTTTTGTTAGCTTCTTCACATGTTCATCTATCTGGGATTGACTACGGAAAAAGCATGATTTCAGATGACTTTAATTTGGGGCCACAGGAAAAAGCATGCAAACTTCTGTTAGCTGCTTCTTCTTCACAGGTTGATGTATTTTGGCTTTTAACTCTCTGGAAAGAAACCAAAGGCCAACTTAATGGATTGAATTCTGGGTACAGCTTCTGCAGCTGCTGGTATATACTTTATTTGTCGGAAATATCTGTCACCACAATTCCTCTTTTATTTGAGTTTTTGACTCAATTAACCACTATTGTCACATGATTTAAGTTACATCTCTTACAATTGTTTTATTTTTTTTTTCCTTTTGGGAGTTCGGACTCTTCAAATATCGATTACATTTCCAAGCTTCCTTCAAACTTAATGTTGGCTTTTCCCATTTTTCAACATAAATAGATAACGTCCCAACAGAATTCAATCAAAACTTTCGTCGTCCTCTCACGTGCCCGGCATGTGGATTGGAAGCATTCAGTTCTTCGCGCCTTGCGCGTTAGCTTCCCACCTGGCCTCGTTGCCAGTGTCTCATGTGCTTCCACTGCATTCTCTCTTCCCGCTGCCTTCTCTCTGCAGCTGCTCTCTCTTTCTTTCTTCTGTCATTTTTTTTCCTCTTTTCTCTTTCTCTTCTTTCCACAACAATGTTGCTCTGTCACTTATCCGTGTGCTCTCCAAACTGGTACAAAGCTTTGTTGCGGTGTGGTATTCCGTTCTGCCAATTCCATTGTCTTCTTACCGCCCAAGGAGCTACAGCCTTCGCAGTTGGTTGCATCGGTCCAGATCTTGTGCCGTTCGTTCGCTTTTCCTCCTCCTTCATCACGAGCTTTCACCTTCTTTCTTTCCAGTGAACTCCGATCTTTTCTGTAAGCTTCCTGTTTTCCTCCCCCCCTCTGGAGTTCGTATTTTTTTCGTCCCTTGTCTGGTGACGTGCAGCTTTTTTGTTTTGTTTCTCATCCACAATTTTCTTATCGACAAAAAGGTGTCGTCTTCGCTGTTGGTTGCTGGTTTAGGATCTTGTGCCGTTCGCCTGAGTTCTCTTCCTTCTCTTTTGTTGTAAGCCTTCTTCTCCTTCTTGTCCAGTGAGATTGCGTCTTTGTTACAAGCTTCTTCTGTACCCTTTTTTTCTTTGCCTGGAGGTCATTTGTGCTGTTCTTTGTCCGGTGAGGTCCGTTATTTGCATGCCTGCGAGTTCATTGTAAGAAGATTTTGTTCGAGTCAGATATCCTCTGCTCGTGATATTGCATATTTGAATAAGAAAGTAGGATGTCTTCATTGGGGTGCTCTTGTTAAATTACAACTTCGAATCTTTCATGGGTCCGTATGTGATCTATCAATGATGAAAACAGCATTGCTTGTGGCATGAGCCATAGAGTATGTACAAATTGCAAGTTTGTTGTCTCTAATAATGATCACATTCAAATAGTTGAATGCTGCTATGGAGTTGGGAGTAGTTAGAAAGTCTTTTTAATAATGCTGTGCAATTGCACTAATAAGACTGTGGAAGTTTATATACTCTTTAAGTATGCGCCTTCAAAATGCTTAACGTAACCTATTTTCAGGATTAACAAAGATATGACCCATGAAACCTAAAGCCCTCAGAAGTCATTTAATTGAGGTTGGTTTTGTTTCGTTTTTCTTTTTTTTTTAAATCTTAGTTCTTTTTTGGACCTTCATTTCCCTACCTGTAAAGTATCTCAAGTTTTGTTTGCTTTTTGGATGGATGTATGCTTAAGTTGTCACTTAGGATTCAGTCAAATGGAGTTGTTTCAACTCTTTTTGCAGACTGATATGCATGTTAGAGACAAAATACTGGTGTTGTTTGACTCTTGGCAAGTGGCCCTGGAGGAAAATATTCCCAGTATTACTGGGGGTATGAGGACTTAAGGGTAAGTCAAATTTTGGATTACAGCTGACTGTTTGCTTAGGAATCTATGGGCTTATATGTTGGTTTATAAAGCTTCTATTATTGCTTGATTCCATTAGTCTTTGAATGCTTTTATTATCCGAATTTTATTTTGGTGATAGTTATTTTATATGCTAAATTGTGTTGCTTTAGTTTTGTCATATTTTCTTTAAAATTTTTTCTGATACACCCTCAACTCAAAAGTAATAGAATTTATTAAAGATAAACTGGATTTGTGGAATAACAATTTATTAAATTAAGAAAGAGCAAGTTGTGTAGTTTATGTACAAAGAACAATTAAAAAAAATAAAAATGAGAAAACAATGTAGGCATGATATTACATTGTAGACTATAGCAGGCCTTGAAGGCACTCTAATGAAGCTAACAAATGACTTCTTTTCAGCAGTACCACATTGTATAATGTTCTATGAAGGATGTTTATTGCCTAACTTGGCATAAGCCACTTTGCAGCCACGTTGATTATTACGTGTTATCTGTGATTCTGCATGTATTAGTGTTCTAGTGTGGGTTTTCCCAAGAGTTCATTAGATACTGCTCCTATATTTACACTGCCTATGATGCATCCAACATCATGACATCAACAGCCTGGTTATGGAATGCCAAGTAATTCCTCTACTAGGCTTGATGCAGCCATGGCTGTAGAAATGGAAAATTTAAGGTTAATATTACCTTTGAAATTTTTACACAATATTCCTAAATCTTGTGTTCTATATCTGATACGTTTTACTTATCTTTTTTGGTTAGCTTATAGTTTGACTTTGGATTATTTTTGTGGTATAGTTTGTCAAGCATAGGGTCTCTGTGCGATGTTCTGGATCTCTTAGCTGACATGCTTCAAGTTGTCAATCCAAGTAATTGCTCGGTAGAAACTCTTGATTCTATTCATGGTTCCGAAATTTTCAATAAATTTCCTCACAGTTACTTCTCTGTAGCCTGTAAAAGATGAAGTTATAGTTATCTTTTGAGCAATGTCATTCCAATCAGAAGAAATTGATGCAGATGTTGACTGCTACAGGGTCTCTCTCTCTCTCTCTCTCTCTCTACATTTCAATGTATCACTTGTTTATACATTGCTTTGATATTAAGAGTTCAACCATGCTTGTTGGTATGCAAGTTAGATTATGTCGTACTAAAAATACAGGAGAAATATTTGCCTTGAAGAAATTAAGGAAGTTAGATATGCTCAGGCAGGGACAGGTGAGACCTTGCTAATTTAAAACACAGTAAACATATTTGGTTGTTCTCCTTCTAAATTTTATGGTATCTACCTCATAATTGCAGTTGGGTTAATATTAGGAGTTATTAAGATTTTAAGAGCCACATTCATGACTCTTAATTGTGAAAGAAAATTATCCAAACATAAATGCAAAAGTCAAGGTTATAAGAAGAGAATAGTAGTTACAAAATTGATAAAGTAATAGGAAAAATTTATGTATTTGATTGGCCAAATGAAAATTCTGAATGCAATAGCTATATGCATGGGAGAGGGGAAAAAGATGATTAAATTCTTGACTTCCATATTCTAAAAATGTATATCGAGCATGAGTACCTATGTCCTTGCTAATTTTTTCACTCCATTCCAGGTTGAGCATGTTCGCTTTGAGAGGAATTTGCTTGTAGAGGTTGACAGTCAGTGTGTAGTGAAACTTTTTATTCTTTCCAAGATTCAGATTTTTTGTACCTTATCATGGAATATTTAGCTGGTGTGGACACCATGACCTTGCTGATGAGAGAGGATATTCTTTCTGAAGATGTTGCCAGATTCTACATTACTGAAAGTATTCTTGTTATACATTCGATTCATTAACACAATTATGTACATAGGTACCAATACATGTGATTGCAGTGTACTACCTTGTGTATTGGAAAATATTCCTACTCTCCAATTTCATACTATCTTGTGTGTTGGAGAGTGTAGCGTCTCTTTTTAAATATGTGGGTACACAAGACTATTCCTCAAATCAATTTTGAAACAAATACTTGGACTGCATAGGTAGTGCCAAGTCTTTCTTTCCTTAGAATTCAAGTGCCAAACTGTCTATATGTTAACTGTTTAAGGTCTGATGGCGTCCAAATTAAGTGAAATTTTTCTTAATTACTTGTGAGTTTTATAGCATGACTTGATGTATCATGCCCAGTAGCTACACCATAATTGAAGTCCTTTTCTACTTTTTGCTTAATTTGGTATTACAAAGGTATTATTGATGCTGCAATGAGTTGAAAATATTTTGATGCTCATATTTAAACTCTGGAGTTACGGATTTGTGTTGAATATCTTAACGTAGTTAAGACATGCTTGAAAATGAACTTATTTTTGGTCTTATTTAGATTTCTGTGCATAATACACGTCCGCGATTTGATATTTACTTGAAATACTAATTCGTTTGGGGATATAAAACGAAATAACCTGATATTTGATAAAAAATGGTCATCTGACGCTTTCCGGCTTTGGCTTGTGTAAGCCCCTGCATAACAAATATTCTTCAATCTTTTCGGAAGATGAGGACTTGTCAATTCAGGAGTCTCCAAGTGAGCATTATGGCGACTCAGAAAGTAGTAGAGCTCCTTGGTTAATGCCAAAAGAAAAGTTACAACAATAGATATGTAACTACCAAGCCTTGGTTTTCAAATGGTCATTTATCTTCTAAACAGGACTAAGAGAACTAAAAATCAATTCATTTTTATTCATGTATAGAAATAAAGGGCACATGTTCTTAGAACTCTTAATCGATTTATAATTTCTTATCTCCATGCATTGTTGCTGGTAATGCACGGCAATGAGAAAAGCAAGGAAAACTGACAACATGAAAAAACTAAAGGGTTTTAACTGTAGACAAATAAATGAATTACCTTGAAAAGAAAAGAGGAAATTAGTGTGTTTTTTTTGTTTTGTAATAATTTTGCTTTCTTTGAGTGTATTATTAATTAAAAATCAGAACCATATTTCGTTTACTAGGATAACTCGTCTAATCTAAATTTTGTCTCTGTTGTCTTGCAACTACTATCAAATTCTTGGTAAAATTGAAACTTGGTAATCTGAAGTTTCAAATTAATATATACAAATGAAGAGCTTAAAATGTGGATAAAAAGATAAATTAGTTCAAAGATGAAATAGAAAACAAATGTGTCTTTGTTTTGTAATACTTTCGTTTCGTCTAGGCATATTAATTAAGCATATTAATTAAAATGAAAAGCGATATTTTTTATTTCTTTGTCTTTTGTTGATACATTTTAATTCTTAATTTAAAAAAATGCTAAATAAGGTAGATTCTGGTTTATATCATTTGCTATGGTATCTATCTTTTTTTGCGATTTCTTTTGTAAATGGTTTCCACATCCAAAACAAATTATTGAACAGGTTTAATTCCATAGACTACATGTTTAATGATCCATCCCTTTTGAATTTTACTAATAATCAGCATATTTTTTCTGTATAAATTACTATTTTTATTATTTCATATATTTTATTTTTTGCTTTATGCAAAATTGGGCTGGGCATTTTATATTTCCATCGCGCGAGGCGCGTCTATGCCTCCTAGTATAAAATAAAATGGTTAAGTAAACTCTTACCATTGGCCAATTGAATGTTCGTAACAAAACTGACAAGCAGTCCTGTGCTTAAATGAAAAGTCAACAATTAGACTTCCATTCCATTGTTAGACTTCACTCACTAATTTACACACTCACCTAATTTATCCTCTTATACTCAATCAAACCTACTTTCTAGCTTTTTGGATATGTGATTATTTGAAAGAAAAAAAAAATTCATGCTTGCATCACAATTATACGTTTGATTTTTTTTTTCTTAAATTTTTTCAATCATCTTTTTATTCGACGTATGTCATATCACAAATAATACTCTCCGAAAACGGGCTCTTAACTTTTCAACAAGATGCTATGTAATTTCTTGTAGACTAAAAGACATCAATTCATTTGTTTCCGATGTTGATCAATTACTTGAGTTTGTGCCTTGGGTAAAAAAGGTCATGAAGATTGACATCATTTTGCTGGCACTCGGACAAACAGTTGAGAATTGCTAGCATGCAATGGATGCAATTTGCGTAAAAGAATTAGCATTAATTTGCTTGACTCCAATAAAATATAGGAGCATTAAGTTGCTTGACTCCAAGAAAATTCTTCACTTGTATAAGACCCTAATTAAACGACTGATTCCCAATTTTTATTTTTATAACATATAAACTAACAACTAGCCTAATCCTACTTCTGATTTGTAAGCATAAGATAATCTAGAAAATTATTGGCGATTAAATATACAGTTTATAGATGAGAAGAAAGCCTATTCTTTAAATCAACGAGGCCTTTATAACTAAGTCAACCGTATTGCAAGTCAACGTTTATCTCCAATATTCTGATATCGGGATCGGGGGTAGATGCCAAAAAACAGAGGGATTATTTAAGAAACCTCCCTTCAGGTTTTTGGTAATTTCACATAATTTTCTTAAACTTTTAAAAATTACACATATCTCTCTTCAGTTTACCGTTTTGGTAACAAAAACTATTCAATGGTCAAAATTTTGAATGAATAATCCAAAATGCCCTCATGAAATTGTGAAGTTCGTTTTACCTTCTTATAAAATTCTCTAAAAAATATATATGAAAATGGCACAAAATCTCAATTCCACTTTCAACTCTCATATCTACTATTTTAAACTCTTCATATTCCCGCATCTTAAATTAATACCATTATCGCCATGATCACCACCATAATCCATAAATTCTAAAACCTCAATTTAAGTTAAAAAAAAAGGGGAAATAAAAAAGCAATTCAGCGTTGTTAAACTCAAAAATGTTACTAATAACATCATATCCCTTAAATGTTGGAATATCAACATTAGCTCCATTTTTTTTAAACCTTCGGCTTACATCTTCTTCTATTCATTTCCAGATCCTCCAAGCAAAGTCAAAATTAATTTGTAATATGTTAAAATTATGTTTAGGAAATAATTAGTTATTCCACGAGTGAATCTTATTTTTGTTTTCATTAAATGTCTAATAGTGTGATGCATTCATACAAACAATATTAAGAGCGGATTTTTTAATTGCATGAAAAATATTAAACATATCATGGTTATTATGATCATTTTGTAGAGCCAAAGAAGATAAGTGTAATATTAAAAATTTCAAGGATACTAAATGAAATTGTCCGAAACCTTAAGAGAGGTTTTTGAAATTATCCCGAAAACATACTACTACCGTACGTATTTATATGATACTAGCATGCCATCTTTTACTCTATAGTAGTCTAGTTAGGACTCGGCATATTTTGGGGCAAAAGGTCAGTGATATATCCCCTAAGATCGGAGTTGTCATTTTCGTCATTTAATGAGCCAGCCTTGCTTCATCTCATTGGTTAATTATGATGGCCGGACACACAACTTGATAACGATATGTTGCATGAAAAGGAAATTCTAATATATCTCCATTTAATGTTTAAAGGGTAAACCAACAGAAACACAAATTGATATACGCTCAATGGGAAAAAAAATGATTGCAGGTGAAGTTGTGAGAAGCGAAAGACCACCTATTGTTCTTGTATTTCTCATCATGATAAACCCCAACAGGTTCTTCTGCCTGCAGGAAGTTAAATGCTACCAATGATCAGTAACCATTTATTATAGAAACTTCTATCATGGAAGGTGAGAAATTGCAATTGCAGGTGTACAATCATGCAACATTAATGGATGGACTAGATACATCTGCTTAAAAGTTAAAATATAGTACCTGAGAAAGAATGCACTGCTGCAATGGTTCCTAATTATTGAATCACCAATGAGGGCTAATGTAGGCTTAAAATCAAGGAGTTTCACGGGATCAAAACTTGCGTAAATCCCAGCCTCTCCCTGTATCAGGGAGCCCATTCTTGATACAGTTTTGGGGATCTTCAATGTGAGAGCATGCATGTATTTGTAGGTGTAACGCGGACCGCTTGGATCTGGAACCCAATCTCCTATGAGTAAATTGCATTTTGCTGCTACAGCCACACAGCTTGATCATCAGAAAAAGTAGCAAGCACAATTCGATCTTCTTAACAAGGGACGAAGATTTAGGTGCTTACTCAGTGGAGGTGGCAATGACTTGTTTCTACAGCAGATGCTGAATAGTCGGTGGCATCAAAGGCTAAAAATTGTACTACAAAACTCGGTAAGGACAGATGATAAATAAGCAAGTCCCAGTGACAGAAAGCCCAATCCTCTGTTCGCATATTAAATCAAGACTCAAAATTAGAAATTTTCTATGTTGTTATTTAGCAGTGTTTTAGTCCAAGCTAGAGTTTTAGTAATTCTATTGGAGTCAAGTTATGGTGGTTTTATTGTTTAGCGATTAGTATTTTATTAGAAAATTTCTTCTGGTGTAAGACTTATTTATCAAGTCATTTAATCTATAAATAGAGAGTCATATTATTGTATCTCTTGAGAAGAGTGAAAGATTGAGACTTTTTGTTGTTCTTGTGATGTGATTAATAAATCATTATTGGCATTATTCCTCTTCTCCCACACATATTTTATATGTGTGTAAATTACCTCCCCACATACTTTTTTTTTTTTATCCCATATATCTCCTATATATTTTTGGTGAATTTTTTGGATTCTACATCCTCAAATTTCAAAAAAAAAAAAAAAAAAAACTGATGAAAAAGGTTTCTTGTTGCTGAGGCTGTAACTCAATTCTTTCATCCACAAAACTCTGGTAAGAAAGTCCGTTACACGCTAAATAAGAAGAGAAAATGATCAAATTCGAGGAGAATTAACTGCAGCATCTAAAAATGTGGTTTTGTTTTTTCGTCCTCAGCTAACCAATGTTGTCGATCATGATCCGACCAACAGACAAAGAAGTTATAGAGAATTTGTTGGTACGTCATATAGCAGTATTCAAGTGACAAGAAGTTAGCATGGCGTAAGTTAATGATGAGTGGCAGCTATCTGAATTTGATTTGCCAATCCTTTTAATCATTGAGAGCTGATTAATAATGTCCATGTCTCGTGTTTGACCAGGAA